CACACACACACACACACACACACACACACACACACACACACACACACACACACACACACACAGATAAAGACTGTGGCCAGAGATCTTGGTGTGTGTGTGTGTGTGTGTGTGTGTGTGAGTGTGTGTGTGTGTGTGTGTCCCGTCAGCTGATGACGCGTGCGATACTTTTATAGGCGAACTCCGCTGTTTTCTGCTCCACTTTCGTTTCGTCGTGTTTGGGTTTGTGTTTGTTTGTTTGTTTGTTTGTGTGTGTGTGTGTGTGTGTATATATGTGTGTGTGTGTGTGTGTGTGTGTGTGTGTGTGTGTGTGTGTGTGTGTCTCTGTGTGTGCAGAGCACATGCGCATTAATGCCACCTCCCTCAGCGCATGCGCAATACTCAGTGCTGTCAGCCGTCTGGCGGATGGATCCTCAACTCGCGCGGGTAAGAAAACATTCATTAAATCCAGCACAGCTTCACTTCTGGCCTTTAAAACACTCGACGGAGGAGAACTCGCGTGTATGAGTGTGTGTGTTTGCGCTGCTCGGGGAATATGTGTGTGTTTGGGCTCGACAGAGATGAAGCAGTGCGTGTGTGTTTGATGTGTGTTGATGGAGAACGTGTGTGTGTGTGTGTGTGTGTGTGTGTGTGTGTGTGTGTGTGTGTGTGTGTGTGTGTGTGTGTGTGTGTGTGTGTGTGTGTGTGTGTTTCCCGTCAGCTGATGACGCGTGCGATACTTTTATAGGCGAACTCCGCTGTTTTCTGCTCCACTTTCGTTTCGTCGTGTTTGGGTTTGTGTTTGTTTGTTTGTTTGTTTGTGTGTGTGTGTGTGTGTGTATATATGTGTGTGTGTGTGTGTGTGTGTGTGTGTGTGTGTGTGTGTGTGTGTGTGTGTGTGTGAAGTCGCCATTTTCCTCCGCTCATCATGGATGTTGTTTGTTTGTTTGTTTGTTTGTGTGTGTGTGTGTGTGTGTGTGTATATATGTGTGTGTGTGTGTGTGTGTGTGTGTGTGTGTGTGTGTGTGTGTGTGTGTGTGTGTGTGTGTGAAGTCGCCATTTTCCTCCGCTCATCATGGATGTTGTTTGTTTGTTTGTTTGTTTGTTTGTTTGTTTACTCGCTCATCACTCAGTTATATTCTCTGTCCGCTGATTCTGAATCACTCTTCGACTCTTCATAAGTGAATCTCTCAGCTCTTCTGCACCTGCTGGAGTCTCTTCTGCTTCATAACAAACATCCCAGCAGCAGCAGTGGAGATCAGCTTTATTCTGGCTCTCTCATGTCTGACAGTGGCTGTTTCTGGGTTAAAGTAGTACCTGCCATCCACACTACACATGATTTCACTGCGACTGATACTAAGATGTTGTTTAGTCAAGTTCAACAGTGTTCAAATCTGCTGTCTTTCATATTTACCTTTATCTATCAACACCGACCAAGAAAACCCAAATATCTGTCTAACTGTATTTGTGATTAACACTCTTATAAAAACAACAGACCCTAAATTCATATATAAAGCAAACAATATCACGCTGATGGTTTTCTCCCAGCGAGATCTATTGTAAGGACAGGTTTACTGTAACTTGACAACAAACCAGAGTTCACAAAATCTGATTGCGTTTATGAAAGATTAAACACTTTCTGCTGTCAAATGAGGGTAATATTAGTGTATTATTGGTTAATAGCTGTGCAGTCGGGGCTCATTCTGTTGATAGAAGTTGGTGTTAACCCCTGTGTGCTGTTGGGGATGTTTTCATCCACCCTGGGCTGATTTTGAGTCTTCATTTGGCCATAATGTTTTCTGTGTTTCTGCTAGCAGAATGATTATTTTGGTGGCAAATCTTATTTTAACACATATTTAGAGAAAATGCTTTGAACGTTTGAAATCAATGATGCACTCTGACCTTGTGTTATGTTCAGGATGAAAACATCCACTGAATTAAACTGCTGTAAAATGCATCAGATGTCTTTTTTCATATTTGTTTGCATAAATTAATCACTAAAACTACTAAACTGCTCAAATTACAGGATTTAAACTCTTTAATTGCCATATTAACAAATAATGTCACTGATTTAGTTAAAAAAACACACACAATATGCATTTTCAATATAAAAAGTAACTGTAGTCTGGATTTTTTAATCTTTTATCAAAGTCTTGGACACGTGAAACAACGCTGTCTTTGAGCCGTATCACCCTGCAGCCCAAGAGCTGTCCCTCACTGAAGATGAGCAGGGCTGAGTCTGGTCAGTGTCTGGATGGGAGACCACATGGAAAAACTAGGATGCTGTGTGCAGTGGTGTTAGTGAGGCAGGGCTCGAAATTAACTTTCTTACTTTCTTACCAGAAAAAATTTAGGAGCACCCACCAAAAATGAATGAGCACCGCTGCAAATTGTATATTAAGGAATTTATTGTATTTGAAAACAACATCAATTAGGACAAACAAAACCCAGAAACAACTATCTAACTAATGCTGTGATGACTTAATATTTGTGCAGTAATTCCAAAATGAATGTTGAATAATATAAAATATTAATGATGACGATGATGACAATAATACTAATATTGAATTACATTTCTCATCATCATGCTGCCTTGAATGTGCTTTAATGTAAGTTATCTGCTATATAAAGTCCTGCTGTTACTTTATGAAAAATAAATTGATGGTTTGCATCAAACACAAATGAAGCATTGTAGTGAGAAATATTTATTTTGTACTGCTGTTTTTATATGCATGTCAATGATGGTGTTTTAGCAGACATTTGCGCTGTTGCAGCCTGATCTCACGAGGAAACGAATGAAAATGTTACGAATTGCCATGAGATAGTGTTGGCTGAACACGCACTGCATGCAACGCATCGAGATTCAGTGTACTTTTCACTCTTCAGCTGTTTGCATTCCCAGCGGTCACAAAAGCTCCCTCCCTGTCATCTGACAGCAGGAAGTCTTGAGTGATTGACAGCTAATATGAACCAATGTAGTGGCAGGGAAGAGCGATTTTACCACGTTTTTAGAAAAAAAAAAAAAAAAAAAAAAACAGGTCGCACTACAACCATTATATGCAGTCGCACGAATGCTCCCAAGTATATTATGAGGTCGCATAACTTAAGTTTCGGGCGCATATGCGACCAAAATGTTCGCAATTTCCAGCCCTGTGAGGCCAGCAGGGGGCGCTCAACCTGTGGTCTGTGTGAGTCCTAATGCCCCAGTATAGTGACTCTATTGGGGACTCTATACTGTCAGTGAGCGCCGTCTTTCAGATGAGATGTTAAAGCGAGGTCCTGACTCTCTGTGCTCATTAATAATCCCATGGCACTTCTAGTAAAGAGTAGGGGTGTAATAATTGTCATTTGGCTTAGTCCCTTTATTAATCTGGGATTGCCACACCGGAATGAACCGCCAACTTGTGCCAACTGCACACATGTATATTTCCTAAATGATGTTGAACAGATTTTTCACAGTGTTTCCTCTAATATCTGTTCTTCTGGAGAAAGTCTGATTTGTTTTATTTGGGCTAGAATAAAAGCAGATTTTAATAGTGTTAAAGTCATGTTAAGCTCAATATTATTCACCCCTTCAGCAATATTAGTGTTGGATTGTCTCCAGAACAAACCACTGTTATACAATCACTTGCCTAATTACCCTAACTTTACCCCAATTACCCTAGTGAAGCCTTTACATGTCACTGTAAGCTGAACACTAGTGTCTTGAAGAATATCTAGACTAATATTATGTGCTGTCATCATGGTGAAGAGGAAATAAATCAGTTATTAGAGATGAGTTATGAACACTGTTATGTGCAGAAATGTGCTGGAGAAATCTGCTCTCTGTTACACAGAAATTGAGGATAAAAACAGGAGGGTTTAAAAACAGTTTAACAGGAGGGTGAATACTCTGACATGTGTATTGTGTATATATTTTTCATTTGACCCACTAATTTTCAATATTCGACCCAATCCGGTCGGGTTACTCTTGGACATCGGGGGTCCGTTCTTCGTACGTGGATTACTCAGTTAGCTGGATTTGGATGTTGACGATTTGACACGATCCAGGATCGTTTCGTTCTTCAAAGCTGATCCGAGAGTTGTTGTCATGGCAACAGTTCTGCTAGGTCAAACCTGATCGGGAGCAGGTTTAATTCATATAAACAGGATTAGATCGGCTCAGTTCAAGCAAAGATAATACAGAAAGTATGTACCGAATTCTGATATTTTCTTACAGTAGTAGTTATATACACTTGGGAAAATAATACATAATTTTTAAATATATATATAAAGTTATAGTCATTAATAAAATAAACAAAGTTATACATATTAATAAAACGTATGCAATCTGCACTCTCGAAATGAAAGTACAAAGACTGCCATCTGGTGCAAAGAGAAAACTTATTGAAATGAACTTATTAGATCGCTTTAGAACAAATTGTGTATAATAGAAATGCATAATATGTGATTTTTTAAAGCAATAATACATTTATGCAGTCATAAACATATTTTGATAGTTAATATGCCGGTGATTTGATGCTTCACAATTCAATTCAATTCAATTCAGCTTTATTTGTATAGCGCTTTTACAATGTAGATTGTGTCAAAGCAGCTTCACATAAATGGTCATAGTAATTGGAACAGTGTGGTTCAGGTTTTAGTGTTTAAGTTCAGTTCAGTTCAGTTTAGCTCTGTTCAGTGTGATTTAATCATTACTGAGAGTTCAAACACTGAAGAGCAAATTCAACGATGCGTAGCTCTACCAATCCTGAACCATGCGAGGCAGTGGCGACAGCGGAGAGGGAAAAAAAACTTCACCTGATGGGAGTGAAGAAAAAAAACCTTGAGAGAACCAGACTAAGTTGGGCACGACCATTTTAATTTCTCCGCTGGCCAAAAGTCTTGTGCAGAACTTCATTCGCCGTGGTTTATGCTGGGAGATGGCCTCAATGAAGACTCGTCTGTCCCTGGAGCGTCGCTGGAATCAGACTCATGTTCTCCACTCCCCACGACCATCAGCGCAGCAGCAGCTCAGGATATGGCCTGGTCCCGGATATGGAATCCTTGGGATCATCACGTCGCTGGTCTTGGATCCAATCAGTGACTCCGTTGCAGACACCTTTACCAATATCAAAATGCTTTTGTAAACAACCAGTTATTCTTTACACCGATTAAAAAACGGCTACTATTATAACGAAAATCTTTTCTAAACGTAGAACTAAATACATTGATTTGCATTGAAATACATGAAAACTCTTGTCTTGACAAATAAAAGTGTAAAGCCTGCAGCTCATAACAAATGTGTAAAGTTCTTGCGTGTCATATTTAACGCACCGTTTACTGCTAATTTGATGTAATTTTGCTCACATGGATAATTGAATATTAATCAGATGATGTCATTACGCTGCTGTGCCGTCAGCCAATCGTTGCATTGCTGATCATGATTTCGAGGATCGATAGATCTGTCCTTCACAACACACACAGCGATCTCAGATCAGTTTATCCAGACATTCTAATCTGATTCGCAAACTTGTTTGAAGAACCAAATTAGCGAGAGATCAGTTATCAAGATTAAAAGATCCAGGATCTGCTAAATCATCTTAAATCATTTAAGCGAGGTACGAAGAACGGACCCCGGGTCTCTGGTGTTTGTTTGGATCTCCGGGCAGGAAGTTGTCGACATGTTTCCTGCAGGGTTGCTGCTTTGTGCGCATCACTTCCTGTCAGTGTGTCTGTGTGTGAAGCGGCATGTGTTGTTGATTTGTGTGTTCAACATCACATTCATCTCAGCCTGTCTGATCATCTCCATTTATGATGAAGAAAATATTGACACGCAAGATTATTGAGTCTGAATTATTAATCAGCACTGTACACCATATCTGTTCATTTGTGTGTTGTGTGTTTATTAGCGGTGGTGAACTGCATTATGGGATGTTGATCTCTGCTCTGTCCACTTCTGATGATGTAAATTCAGCTCTACAGTTTAACAAAGAGACTTTTACTGACATTTTAGATGTTTGAAATAATATCAGAAATAATATGTAGAGGAATAAGAGTGTAAAATAAGAGTAAATGTGCTGCAGTTTATTACAAGCTTTCTGTAGCGTAACACCAGCACACACTATACAGCACTGCACACTATTACACACGTGCAGAACAGAAAGCGTATTAATTGCAAATATAGTGTACTAATTAGGATCTATATTCACCGCTGCTTGGTAACTAAATAATACAGCACAAAATAAGAATAATAAACAAACAAGTCAATTTCTCTTTCTAATTAAGGTGAAATAAAAAAAAAAAAGTTTTTAAACCCAAGTAATAATTTTGCCCTGGAAATAAATACAGAAAAAAGAATAATAAAAAAAAAATAGTGTTTGTTTTATGCAAATCTAAAAAGGCCCTCTTGATTAACTACACTGTAAAAAAAATCTGTTATTTTACTTTTTTTCCAGTAGTTGCGGGTGCCGGAAAAATGTCTGTAATTTTATTTTACCTTTTTTTTTCTGACGCCCGCAACGACTGGCCTTTAAATTACAGACATTTATTAAAATATAACTGACAGTAAATTACAGAAATTTACTAACATTAATATTTTTGGCAAATGTCCGTTATTTTATGGTGAATGTCTGTAATTTAAATGCTGTTATTTTACGTTTTTATTTCCGGCTCCCCAGCTGCTGGAAAACACTTAAAATAACTGATATTTTAACAGTGTATGTTACAAAATTGTTTAATATTTTCATTTTCTGTTCAATTTATTTATTTATTTTTCATTAAAAACACTATAAAAAGTTCCAAAAACAGAACTGTTAAAGAACTGAACCAATAAGTGCTATCCATAAAAGTAATTAATACTGTTAAACCTTAACAATACAATCCCTACATTTCACAATGGTGTTAATAACTCATCTCTAATCATAACAGTGTTCATAACTCATCTCTAATAACTGATTTATTTTCTCTTTGTCATGATGACAGTAAATAATATTAGACTAGATATTCTTCAAGACACTTCTATACAGCTTAAAGTGACATGTAAAGGCTTCACTAGGGTAATTAGGGTAAAGTTAGGGTAAGTCATTGTATAACAGTGGTTTGTTCTGTAGAATATAAAGAAAAAATATATAGCTTAAAGGGGCTAATAATATTGACCTTAAAATGTTTTTTTAAATAAAAGCTGCTTTTACTTTAGTTGAAATAAAACAAATCAGACTTTCTCCAGAAGAACAAAGATTATCAGACACACTGTGAACATTTCCTCAATCTGTTCAATGTAATTTGGGAAATATTAAAAAAATATTTTAAAATAATTCAAAGGTGGGCGTGTGAAGAACAGTGTTTCCCAAATGTCTCATGTTTGGTCGTGTCCTAATCGTCATCTAGAAACTGAAATCATCGGTCCTTCTGTGGAAAGTGAAGGAGATATTCAGCAAAATGTCCAGCTTCCTCATTTCATGATGATCGGGGACTCCATATTCAGAAGCAGAGCCGTATCATGAGTCAGATATTTACACTGTAAAATATCCCCAGATCAGCTCTTTCCCCTGCTGTGTGAGTCCTGTTTTCACTTTATTCCTGCTTCTCAATGTCATTATGGGACATTATTATCATCTTGATCTTTCTTCCAGCAACTTTTAACCATGAACAGTGTGAAAAGGTGTGTGTTCTGCGTGTGTGTAATAGTGTGCAGTGCTGTATAGTGTGTGTTGGTGTTGTATATTACGCTACAGTAAGCCAGTAATAAGCTGCAGCACATGTTCTGCTGTTTTACACTCTTATTCCTCTACATATTATTTCTGATATTATTTCAAACCTCTAAAATGTCAGTAAAAGTCTCTTTGTTAAACTGTAGAGCTGAATTTACATCATCAGAAGTGGACAGAGCAGAGATCAACATCCCATAATGCAGTTCACCACCACCTGTTGATTGACAGCTGTGTTTCGCAGTGCAGTGCTGTAGCACTACAGTGACTCATGGGGACTCCTCTGGTGTTTTCTGCTGGAGTTTCTGGGAAACCTCTGCTTTTCAGAATCACTGCTGTGTTTCTCTCCGCATCTCCAGGGTCTGAGCTCTGGATGAGAGGACAGATCTGTGTGTATACTGTGTGTGTGTGTTTGAGAGAGATCAGATGATTCAGATTGAACTGTGCTGAAGTGTGTAAAGTGCAGATCCTGCAGGTTATTCCGCTGTTGTAGTCTTGTGTTGACGTCCGCTTCAGCTGTGAGTCTTTCTTCTTTATTTCTGTGATCTTGATTTATTTTTAATGCTCTTTCTTTTGTGTTTGTTCTGTAAGTGTGTCAATAATTCATGTTTAGCAGGGCTTTCAGCACACGTGCCTCTAAAATACACCTCATTTTACACACACTGCTGGATTTTAGCATCCCTGAGATTCTGTGGCATTATAGTGGTGTGTGTGTGTGTGTGTGTGTGTGTGTGTGTGTGTGTGTGTGTGTGTGTGTGTGTGTGTGTGTGTGTGTGTGTGTGTGTGTGTGTGTGTGTGTGTGTGTGTGTGTGTGTGTGTGTGTGTGTGTGTGTGTGTGTGTGTGTGTGTGTGTGTGTGTATATAAATATACACACACACGCACACACACACACACAATCGAAATCAGAATTATTCACCCCCTGTTTATTTTTCCCCCAATTTCTGTGTATCAGAGAGCAGATTTCTCCAACACATTTCTGCACATAACAGTGTTAATAACTCATCTCTAATAACTGATTTATTTTCTCTTTGTCATGATGACAGTAAATAATATTAGACTAGATATTCTTCAAGACACTTCTATACAGCTTAAAGTGACATGTAAAGGCTTCACTAGGGTAATTAGGGTAACTAGGCAGGTTAGGGTAATTAGGCAAGTTATTGTATAACGATGGTTTGTTCTGTAGACTATCAGAAACAATATAGCTTAAAAACTGCTTTTATTCTAGCCAAAATTAAACAAATCAGACTTCAGAAGAACAAATATTATCAGACATACTGTGAACATTTCCTCAATCTGTTCAACATCATTTGTAAAATATTAAAAAAATAAAATATTCAAACGGGGGTGAATATTTCTGACTTCAGCTGTAGATGGGTAGATGGATCTATTAGAAATAATCTAATTTTTAGTTAATTAGCAACTTTTTATATATTTTTTTTCGTCCAGACCATGTCTACCAATAAATAAAATAATAATAATAAAAATCTGTTGCTGTTTTGTAATGATTGTTCTTAATCAGGTGGAGTTTGAAACATTTAAAATTCTGAATGTATTTTTCTTTAAATCATGAGTGGCTTAAATGCTTGAAAAACAGGTTGTGCAGTACGGCTGCCAAAATTAATTGTTTCTTCTTAAGGACTTTGAATCTTTGAGCTGCTGGGATGTTTGTAAGGTGAATTTTCC